GTAAAAGCGGCAGTGGCGACTTCGCCTCTCACAAGCTCTCCTCTCCGTCCACCCTCGACTCACCTGAAGGCACTTGAGTCGGACGTCTCCGACCTTGTCGTGCAGCGTCCAGCCAATGTACTTGAGGTACGAGTCGTCTAGGAAGTTTTGGTGGAACTTCTTCATCCAGATGCCGATCTCGGCCATACAGATACTGCGGATCTCGGGTAACGTGTCCCTGGGAAGACGGGGTAATTGGGGTAATAGGCCAGAGAAGTAATTGGGAGGTTATGCTGGAAGAGGGTAAAAAGAGTAGATTAGTTATCACGAGGGACAGCCGATACGAGACGGCTGTGAGACAGGCCTGAGAGACCCTCTATTGAGATAACAGTCTGCAACGATGCCATATTAGAAAGACGTTTGTTTGTTGTTTGTTTATTGGGGGCTTTAGTGCGCGCCGACAGCAAAGGTCATTTTGCGCCCATTAGAAAGACGTTCAATGGATAAATTTTAAGCTGGACATCGATTTGTTGCGTTATCTTGTCGACACGCCCCACCAGTGAATACATATGAAGCATGGTAGTCGCGCTAAACCGGATTAGATGAAGATAAATCTACAGTTGTCACGCACTATTGAAAGAACAAAGACAAAAGGACGTGTGCGACCGTGCGTACCAATTGTAGGGTGACAGCGAAATGGAGCTATCACACGGCTCACCATAGTGACAACGGACAGGCTATATTACCCACATTTGTCACAGGGCATAAGCAAATGAAAACATCACTTATGAACTGACACGCCGACAAATGAAAAGTCGGGATGAAAGGAACAAGTTATGACAGGTGCCAAGGCGCGGCCCACGCCAAATGCAAACGTACAAAAGATCATCTGTGGTCGATGAGCCTATTAGCAACGACGTGAAAGGACATTTATTGTCGTGGTTTCACCCGACACCCACGCACTAAACACGTATTCAAAAGCGATGGCCAAAGGACGGAACAGCTGACAAAAATGACTTCTTCGTACCTGTACCGATGGACAAACACCGACTTGAACATGTAGGTCAGCATGTTCTTGATCTCGTCCATGTTCTCCTCGAGCTCCTGGCGCTTGGACATGAGCTGCTCCAGACGGTCGGGGGCGCGCTTCTCCCGCGACTGAGGACACGATGAGGGATATGGGGTTAGCGTTGAGCGTGGGGACGGTCGGACATACGCCTAGGCTCCGGAGAAGTCACTTCGACAGCGCTGCGGCGAAAAAAGGTGGAAACTGATTCAGAGGTAAGGATATTGATGGTTGAATAAGTGGCCCGATTAATTGGTGCTACATTTTACTACGTCACACCCATGGAAGTGAGAAATTCTTTTTTAAGCTTTTTAAGGCAATATCATACAAAAAGTCCGCCATGAAAGCGATCGACACATAAACGCAATTTTCATCAACAAACAATATACAAGCAAACGACAAAAACTGATGAATTAGTGGACCAAAATAATATGAGTGGTGAAAACGCAAGACATATGGCACGATTAATTAAAAGACCAAACAACCATATAACATTTCAAAAACCCACAGCGCCTACCATAACGAGTCTCTTTCACAGATGCTCCATTCAGCATTGTTTGAAGGCAGCCCCGCCACAATATCCAATAGCAGTGAATAAAGAGAAAAGTGTTTTTTTTCATAAGACCACACGCTGGTCAACGACACAGTTGAGGTTCCAACTATGCATTCACCTTCTTACCGCGGACTGTCCCGCCAGCTGCCCTCAGGGGACAGCAGCTGCTGGGGTGAGCGGGGAGGGACGGAGGGCCGAGGGGTGACCCACCTTCTGTCGCTCCACCTCGTACTGTCGCTGGGTATTCTCCAGGTTAATGGACACGGTGAGGGCCACGTTCACCAGTGCCGTCATGAGCTTCATCGCTGGGGAGGGAAGATAGACGGTCAGGAAAAGAAAAGGCGCGCCCATCACCATATTTTGGTGGAGTATTGTGAAATGACAAAAAAAAAAAAATATCGAATAAAAAACGTCGTGAAACGCCAATATACGTCAATGTAAAATCATCTTGCCGACAAAAGTTTCAGCTGAACTGCTCTCACCCCAAGGCACAAGTTCCTCCTTGCAAAACCCTTCTTTTCCACATGAATTCGTAAATTTCAATCATGAGTCTAGTCATAAACCTCTAGTCTATACACATACAAAGGTCTATGGTCTAACTCAGACACCCCCAATATTCCCACAACCAACCCTCAGTCCACCCATTTCTAAGGATCCGCTCTACACCAAGACTGACCTGCCAGTGTAGCGGTGTGCCGGAACGCACGGACCTGCGAGTCGGTCAGCCCGGTCAGGAACGAGATGACGTTGTCCATCAGATGCTGATCGTAGATGATGCTGTACTGACACTGCTTCACCAGCGTGCCCACGAAGTCGCAGAAGTTGGCGCGGAACTTCTTCCACTGCTGGCCCGTCTGGATCAGAGGGTACTCGCCAGATTCCTGCGTGGGAAGGACGATTAGTCAGTTGGGAGGGTATTGTGCCGTGCTTGAGGGAAATGTAGGGAAGATTGATGCATCCTTCATTCTTGAGTTAATTGGAAACCAACAACACATATATAGCGGCGATATTAAACACAGTATTCGTTTTTGCGTTCAGTAGTACCAATTAATCAGTTGAGTATTGTGCGATTTCACAAACAATAACCGAGAATCAAAGATCAAGCCCCATCTTTCACCAAAACATCACGAACCTCGTCGAACTCCTCTGTCATCTTTCTGATAATGGCCACGTCCTCCATGGTCTGCTGCATCTTGGCGGTGATGACGCCCTTGCAGCCGGAGGCGGTGATGAAGAACTGGTTGAGCGCCAGCAGCGCCACGTTCCGGTTCACCTTGTACTGGTCGATCCACTCGTCTACTACGGTCTGAAGAAGATGAGGACGGCGGGTGGGTAAAATGTGTGTTGTATCGACAAAGCAATCTGTCAGCAGTATTTGACAGTTTACAAAGATGCCAAATTAATTTCATACCGACAGCGAAACTACTTTACCGGTTTAAGATGCCTTAACGTTTCATGGTGCGACTAAATATATTTAGACTCAATACGAAGTTGGTTAGAAACGCATCATCTGATGCCACAAGACTAACGACAAAGTATATGTGTACGAAAAATAATGCCACTTCAATACATCCGCTTATATCATGCCCCATCTTCTGCACTCCGAGTTGAGTCACTCCACCCACCTGAAGTAGTGAACGGCCTTCCTTGACGATTTTGTACAGACTGGGCTCCTCGTCACCGACTCCGTGCTCGTGGGCGCGGCCGCGGCCGGCGCGACCGGCCCGGGTACGCTTCCCCGGCGGGCCGTCATCGAGCATCATAGGCTCGGCGGCCGGCTCGGCGGGACGCTTGATCACAGCCGCTGTACGGGAGGGAGGGGAAGGAGTTAGTGGCGACAGATGACAAAGTGGGGAGGAGACACAAGAGCCAGAATTAATTGATCAACTGGTTACTGGCGGAAGAATTCAAAATAAGTAACCGCGAAGCCTGTGTTCGTCAAGAAGCATCGTGAATCTGATCACCCAATGAGAATGCTGCACAGATTTAATCGATGACAAAAATATGCAACGCAAAGCAGATTTCTTTTTTTATGCCTCCCAAGATGCATGCTTGCCTTCCTGCACCCCCTTCCCCCCCCCCCCCCATTCACGGCCCCCACCCGCCCTCAGGAAGCGACAGCTGTCAGTCAGCAGTTCATTCCCACGCCACATATTCAGTGAACCAGACGCCACACCGTCAAACCTGTAGCCGCGTACTGTCAGCCCTTGATAATTGTGCCGTTCTAAAACACATGCTCAAAGCTGCACATCAATAACAATCCGTCCCTTCGACCCAAACTCACTCCTAGAGAATAGAGACATCCTGAGTCCGTAACTTCCTCCCTTTACACTCACATCGTCCTCTGCCGCGGCGAGTCATCGATATGGTGATGGGCGGGATCGGTTCGTACTGCTGCTGTGGCGGCTCCGGAGACAGCATCGGCGCCTGCTGCTCCTCCTGCGCCGCCGCCTGCTGCTGCTGCTGGAGCTGCTGCTGCTGCTGTTGGAGCTGCTGTTGTTGCTGTTGCTGCTGCTCCAGTTCAGCAGCAGCGTACATCTGCTGTTGCTGAAATACAGGGTCGTGGCGGAACTTAACACCAACACTTGGTGGGTTCAAAATTATACAAAATACACATACGTTAACACATGCGTGTATTGCTGAAACTAAAAGCTTTACACAAACTTCAACCGACGCTGCAAAGTTTTTTGATCAAAACTAACAAAATTTCTAGGCAACGCCCCTCTAGTATCCCTCCATGAACGCAGCACCGGCGACCGTCTCGCATCCAGCTGTCCGCACACATGTCGGCGCGCACCTGTACCGCCGCCTGCTGCTGCAGCTGCTGCTGGTGCAGCAGGAGCTGCTGCTGCTGCTGCTGCTGGAAGTGCTGCTGGGCGTCGAACGCCGCCGCATCGTAACCCTGCTGCTGGTAATGCTGCTGAGCCGCATAGTCGACGCCCTGGTACTGAGGCCTGAAATACGACGATGGTGGTGTTATACGAGGCGCATGGGCTTAGGGACAATAATCCGACATCCGAAGAAAATGCTTCTCAAAGTAAGCACAAGTATACCGTTCCCCATTTTTCTGTGCCACTATGTCGCTTATTTATATCGAGATAAAATAATTTCCCACACGGTGCATCTCGACGGAGAGATACGCATTGTTTGCAAGCATCGACGCTTGGGGCAGCCAGGGTAAGCGTGCGCCACATTTCGTAGCTCTTTTAAACCCAATAGTCCAAAAACTATTATTTAAAGATCAGCCAAACGTTGAGCATCATCCACGTTGACGGAAACAATTCTGCGTTCTCGCAAACATCTACTTCCTCTCTCGTAGCTGTCTTTTCAACACGACATCCCGCCTGGCGCCTCATTGGGCCTCTCTGCTCTGGCAGCCATCCACCCCCCCCCCCCCCCCGCTCCAAGCGGCGCAGGCGCTCGTCGCGCCGACCTTGCCCGCTGCGCCGCCCAGTTTACTTCTAGTAGTGCCCGGCGACAGGGGCGGCACTACGCGGGCGGCGACAGCGGCGGAGGGTTCGGATCAGGCGAAATGAGCGCGCTACCAGCTCCACCCACACAGGTAAGTCGGTGTTGTGCGGCGATTTACAAGACGTTTCTGGATAGACGGTTTCTATATGCATAAGTATAGACGCTCGTGTCCCTAAATGAATTTTAAAGGACTGTTTCAACAGTTTAGATGGCCGTTATGCATTGCTAGTTGCATTTAAAAGTGTTGATAAAACTGAACTGACAGATAACAGCCACGCTGCGCAGTTGAGCGCACGCTTCACAGAACCAAACACCAACCACCGCTGCGCACGAGTCCCCGTTCTGTCCGTTCGCGTTGCATGCTCCGGGCGCGCAGTTCCACAGTTACTTCTTTTTACTCCCGTCCACAGACCATGTCTAGTGTGGTCTGCTGTATCGACGACCTGGAACGGTCGGCGCTGGCCCGGCTCGACAAAAACACCAATGGATACTACAACGCCGGAGCGGACGCCGAGCAGACGCTCAAAGAGAACGTGACCGCCTACCAGCGGTAAGCGTGTGGGGAGGATGGGGCGGTAGGATAGGATAGGACAGAATCGGCCTGTCACAGCTGACCGGACACAGATGGCCGTTCAATCACAGCTTAAGTGATGGTCATCATCAGTCACACATGCTAGTCTGATAAGGCAGCCAACTACAGGGTTCAGTTCTCAGAATCAGTTGCAGCCGAACAGAGATCAAGTTTTCCAAACAAAGAGCGTATGATTATTTAGACTTAAAAGCCGCTTCATTTGAAAACAATCAAGTGCCTGCTTAAAAATGGGCCATCCAGGCGAGTCCTCTGTGACCACCTTCATTGATTTTTTGCCCTGCCATATAAAACCAATGTCAGCATTAGTATCAGCGTGTTTAAAATCCCTCTCCCATAGTTCGCCTTTTCCCTGTTGCAAAGCATACCATTAAGTGCATACTATTAAGTTTATGCGTTTCTGTGCAGATACCGTCTCCGACCACGTGCTCTGGTGGACATCTCACACGTTGACCTGACCCAGACCATCCTGGGTCACCGGGTCAGCATACCCATCGGCGTCGCACCGTCGGCCATGCAAAAACTGGCTCACCCAGACGGAGAGTGCGCGAATGCCAGAGGTAAGCACTCACGCTCAGACGGCTTCTACATATAAACGAGCCGGCAAGCTCCAGAATAGACCAAAAACGTCTTATAACACTAATCAATCAGTGATGAAATGCCTGGACATTACCACAACAAAAATCTAGCCTTACAGCTTTAGCGAAACAAGTTGTTAGCGATTCCGATTCGAGCGATTCTATGTCACCTTTTAAGTAAAATAGAAGCAATTATTTTCGAAACACGGATAAAAACGTAGGTGGTAAAATGGACGAACTGACGAGTATCGAGCAACGCTTCTCCATTAAAACCCATGCCTATAAAACTCCTCTCTGTCCCGTCCACCACAGCGGCGGAGGCGATGGGGACCATCTACACACTGAGCACCATATCAACCAGCAGCATCGAGGAAGTGGCAGCCGCCGCGCCCAAAGCCGTCAAATGGTTCCAGCTCTACGTGCTGAAAAACCGGTGAGAAGCGCTTAGAATCGTAAAGCCCCCCCCCCCTCACTATTTAACGAAAGACGATGCTGATGGGTTAGAGTTCGAGTGACGACTTCGACTTTTCCCTAGTAAAAAGTTAATGGTGAATAAACATGTCGTCCAAGCAACACGATTGGAACACCTGATTGAAACACCAATACGATTGGAACGATTGGAACATGAGCCATCCCAGGACGGAGTCGCTGCTCTGCTGTCTTCAAATAAAGATGCAAAGCAGAGCTTAAACTACCGCCACTTGATCCCCGCTCCACCACTGACGTCGCCCCCTATCCGCAGTGACATGACGCAGCGGATGGTGGAGAGGGCCGAGAGGGCCGGCTTCTCCGCCCTGGTGCTGACTGTGGACGCTCAGATGTTCGGTAAACGGCTGGCCGACGTAAGGAACGGCTTCAAACTGCCGCCGCACCTCAGGTGGGTTGTCAAGGAGAGGTGGGGATTGTTGCGTCTACAGCTCTGCTTCAAAGTGTGCATTTATGAGATCAAGACCGATTATCTGTCGTATATGGAGGGACGTAGATGGACGGGTCAACAGCTACCTGCGGAGTGATAAACAATAATCTAACCGCCGACGCACTTCAATGATATAGTAACGGCAACCATCGAACCAACTCCCAGTCTTGCCTCGCCCTCAACTAAGATGTAATAAAAACCGCATGTTCAGAAATTACTGACGGCTTGTCTCAAAATCGTCAAACTAACCCCAAGTTGACATCTTGCTCAAAGAGATAAGTCAAATCTCAACACAAAAATTACTATTGGGTGCATGCCCACAGCCTGGCCAATTTCGACGAGGAATACAAGAAGAACGTCAAGGGCAGCGTCGAGCAGTCGTCGGGCATCAGCCACTTCGTGACCAGTCAGTTCGACCCGTCTCTGTGCTGGACCGACCTGGCGTGGCTGCGCAGCATCACCAAACTACCCGTGCTCGTCAAGGGCATCATGACCCCCGAGGACGCGCTGCTGGCGGCTGAACACGGCGCCGGGGGCGTCATCGTCTCCAACCACGGCGGCCGGCAGCTGGACGGCTGTCTGGCAGCCGTGGACGCCCTGCGGCCCGTGGTCGCCGCGCTCGCCGGACGCCTGCCCGTGTTCATGGACGGCGGCGTGCGCCGCGGCACGGACGTCATCAAGGCGCTGGCGCTGGGCGCTCAGATGGTGTTCGTGGGACGGCCGATGCTCTGGGGTCTGGCGTACGACGGCCAGCGCGGAGCGCAGCTAGCGCTGACGCTGCTCAGAGACGAGCTGCGGCTCGCCATGGGACTCTGCGGTGAGCAACTGACCGCGAGCGGCGGGGGGGGGGGGGGGTAGACGAGACTGGGTAGACAGACTAGAGTTGGCGGGGGCAGGCAGACGATCAGGGCTTATGACCAAATTATTCTACATCGCGGGACATTAGCCGCCAATAGACAGAAAGGGTTGCAGGATACGCATTACCCACTGTGACTGACAAATACATTGTGCATGTGACAAAAAGTATAAACCTAACTGGTCCCGGTAGTTGGACTAGCCCAATAAAGACGCAAAATCGAAAAGCAGAACGGCTAACAAAAAAAAAATCCAAAAACCAGCACAGCACATCACACCACTCATTGATAATAATTTTCTTTGTTTACAGGTGTGACCAAAGTGGAGGATATAACCGATAATATCCTGGAGAAGTCTGACCGGTCAAACCTCTGAGGCAGAAACGCATCACCGGGAAGGAATGCTACAAACGCGCGTACATGAATTGCGCCGATGTCGCCGTGTTTCGTTCCAAGCAGGGGTGCACAAATAGAGGTAGAGGGTCTCGTCTGAGCAGTCAACTTATATTTGCAGTTTGCACAAATATATCAGTTCAGAGCTAAGCGTGTGTGGGCGTGTGATTAAAAATGACTTTGGAGTTTGGTTCCGTTGTGACTAGGCATGTGACATTGTCAATTGTGTACAGTATTTTGGATTTTATATATGTAAAGCTAATACAGATACTGCGGTTGGGTGAACCTACGAACTAAGGATCTTTGTGAACTATGAATTATGAAATCAAGCATGCAATAAAACGGTAATTCATAATCCAAAAACAAAACGTACTTTCCCCTAAATTTATGTAGATATCATCTAACTTCAAATTAGGTAACAAACGAACCAGTATAACGCCTTTTGGGCGAAGAACGAGCGAGCGAGATAGTGAGCCCTGCACGTGCGCAAGGGCGAGAGGGTACTTCCAACGGGCTTGTGCAAAGCAGAAAGCACCCTTCTAAGCGGTCGCTAGCGGTGTGCCAAATTTGAACGCAATCGGCCCGGCCGTTCCTGAGATCTGGAAGCCGCATTTTGCACGTGCGCACGTGCAAACGGGGTCCAAACTGACTTTTGCACGGCACCCTACTAACTGGTCCCCAACCGTGTACCAAATTTGAGCGCAATCGGCCCAGCCGTTCTCGAGGTCTGGGAGCGCCCCCTGCACGTGCGCACGTGCTGTAGCACCCCAACCTTAACACATGCAGATGAATTATCTGATGGAGACCTAACTGTGTACCGAGTTTCAATTCAATCGGCCCAACCGTTGTGCCGTTATTGAGGTTGCAATTTTGGGGGTTCTTAAAAAATGTCCAACTTTACCACGCGCCACGTGCGGTGGTTGGCAAGAACGCATGGTGGCCATCACACCACATAACTTTTACGTCCAAGTGACATTCAGTAAAGAAGACCGCTTGTCAATCGGATGTCCCGTTCCTAAGATATTAGCTTTTGAAGAGCGTCCCCACGGCCGCTCATACTCAGGATTTTCCCTTAATTCAGTATGAACTCGCTCGCTCGCTGCCCTCGCTCGCTCGTAATAACTAAACCCAGATACATTTTAGCTGTCCACACCGACCAATAATTTACGTCAGGCATAATTCCGGGGATCTTTCTCATTCTAAGCATATCAAGTGCTCGGCTTTTTCGCACAAATATCACTGGTGCCAGTCTCTGAAATGCCGTTGCTGAGACTTACACCAGAACCCCTAGACTGTACCAACGACGGTCCATGCAGTTAATTTATTAAGACACAAAAATAGCGGAGTAGAATGGAGTGATGCCTTTAGATCTCGTCGTTTGGCGAAGCCTCGACATCAACAAGCAAGCCTTTAGTTCGCTTTGCTGTTTACATCTCATATTCCACGGTAGCTGACCACACATCCCGACACTAGCTTAGTCGGAAGTCATAAGGCCGGGCAGCGCCTGTAAACCGCACCACATTTCTACAACATTCACACAGAGTGCTGTCCAGACCCACCACTCGTTTTTTTTTCGCAGCCTTCAGCACTTAGCTAACTGGCTGTCCAAGCGCCACCCCAGCAAACCAAACACCCAGCAGTGCCCTCTATCGTGGTTTCGAGGAACGTCCGAGGAAACTAGGGACACCCCCAGCCGTTTCATAGCCAAAAATTTTATACGAATAATGAAGTAAAACATACATGAAAAGAGCATAGTCCCATCTTTTAATCCACCTTCTCTGCTATGTAGTATGTAAGCCTTTCTTACGACTTGTCCTCTTGTGTAAACCTTATTCAACAACATGAGACCTCTACAACATTATCATCCAACCATCCCAACTTCTCATCATCCTTTCTCCTTCACACTGCCATCCTCCCCCGCAGCTCCTACCCTCTCAGTTCGTCTGTACTCACTGGTGCACCGGCGTCTGCTCCATGTGACTGTAGGGCGTGGCCGGTACCGAGTAAGGCGTCGCCGGGTCCATCTCACTGTACGGAGTCATGGGCGGCGCCTCGTAGTCGGTCGGAGGACCCTCGTCCATCCGAATCCGCTTCCCGCCGCCCACTTGTCGGTGCATCATCTGAGGGTCGGGGTGAGTAGCACTGAGTGGATTTGTGTATATGCTTTACACCAACACAAAGTAGCTGATGGCGACCCAGACAAAGGTGGTGTGGATCTGGTCACAATGAAGCTGGTATTTGTGAGTGTGAGTAATAATGAATGACGAATGAAAATTTTGTCCCCAGCCCCATGCACCCATATTGGCCTCTATCCTCAGTCTCATTCAATATTCAATAACAAAATAAGAATGCATCCATGAGAGGTGACAACACTCATGCTACCTGTGAATATTGTAAATTGAGACATATAGACCTGAGTGGACCTAGGGAGCTCAGCAACTAAAAAGACCTGACAATATTAACTAGTATTAAAATGAAATAGCTATATCCAAGAAATGTTTATCAATGCAATATTGGCCATTTGTCAAAAGTATCAAATGTTCACTCAAATGTTCACTGCTATGCTACTGTTCATTGGCCATGGCCAAAATACTGACTAAGTGTTGAGGTCTTGAACTCTAAGATCATCTGGGAACAACAAATACAATGTTGGATCTCCAAACTTATTTCTTGAGCCAATAAAATGCATTGAAGACTTACCTCTCAGTTTGAGCAAAGGTTGGAGCACACAACTTAGTCCCTTAACAACTACCAGCAAATGGCTTAGACATCATTTAATTGCAGCAGCCAGCAACCAGCTTCAAACTAATTACTTCTGAAAAGCAGCAGGTACCTTTCATCATCACATAACATAAATGCACTGGTAGGATAAGCTGGTTATGTCATAAATAAAAATTACCACTTTAAAGCAATAATTTTTAAGCAATAATAATGTTAATTAACCTTATCCTCTTTTAAGGCCATTAGCTAAAAGAAAACTTGTATATGATTCTTTTGCACAAATACCTAGAAATTGTGTGATTTTTCAAGAATTGTTTAGCTTGGATCATGAGAAAAGAAAGAAAACAAAGCACAGAAACATGTTTGAAGTCGATGATAATGAAAGACAATGGCATTTGTGATTCAGAGGTGCCAACACTTCAGATATCATCAGGGTTTGGACTTTAGAGCCAACTGATTCAAGGAAAAACACCCTAGTTTAATGTGCCCTTCAAAACAGCCATATCCATCGGGACCCTCAAATATCAAGCACAGGTTCGAATCATACCCGGGCTCTCACTATCGGGACTCCAACATACTAATGCCCAACATTCTACCAAATGAGTTACGGGACAGGCAAAACTTCAACAATAATTCTGGACTAAGCTGGTTTGGCTTGCACTATGTAAGCTTTGTATCACTTTAAACCTTGCATCTCGCCTGAGCCCCGAGGCGAGCTGGAGCAGCAAAACACGGTGCCCGAGGTGGTTCCAAAATGGCCAAATCAAATGAAATGCTGGACAGGGTCAGGGTTAACCAATCCAACGAATTAACTACCGAGTGCTGGGACCAGAAAGATACCAAAATTACAATGTTATATAGTGGTTACTGGTTCCAAATAAAATTGAAATTGTATGTTAAATAGTCCAGTTTGAGTTCAAATTCAATCAAATGGAATTATTGTTATTGAGCTACCTCAACCTACTTCAACTTCACTTGTGTCCGAAGTCAAACACCTGCCTTTTCCCAGTTTTAACGGTTCACTCAATAGAATCGCTGAATTTGACAATTATGAGCGACGTTGGCAATACTGCGCCAAAACCGGCGCAGGCCTGTAAACGCGGGAAATAAAAGTTAGACAGATTTCGACAATTTATCTAAAATTTGTGTAAATACTTAAGAATAATATCTTTCATATCTTTCAAATATATTATTTGGATAAAAATACTAACATAATGGCTGCAATTTAAATCAGATTTTTATCACAGTTTTTTATTCAAGCAAATTTCTTCACTTATTAAGTCATGTAAAGCAAGATTGAAAGTCATAACAATTTGATAGAATGCAAAAATACATATATTCAAATAATTCATATGCAAAAGCTTACAACTTTTGACACATTATATTTATTTTCCGATTAATATTTGCAACAGCTGTAAGTATTTTTGTGCTTCTAGAAATCAGCTGTTGCCAGCTTCGGGGAGGGCTCGATGCAGTTTTGACACAATGAGCAAGTCAGCGGTGGTGACCAAAAACAAAACAAAGGAAGAACGTCGCCATTCCGCGTTGGATAGCCACCAAATCGCCACGGTCGCTGGTTGGGCGTAAGGGGGATTCGCGTTGGCGTGGTGGTTCATTTTGCATGATACATAATTGTGTTTGACTTGAAACGTCAAATAAATATACAGGTCTTGTGGTAACAGTGCTCAAGACAAGAGAAAGTCACTGCAGTTTCTCATCATCATCGGACTTGGCATTTATCTGCAATTCAAGTTCGCTTGACCCGTCACTCTCGAGATTATTCTCGCTGGAGTTGCATCGGTCTGCTTGTGCGGTTCTACCAAATCGGCCATGAAAAGTATTTCATTGGTGTTCTTTTTCTTGGCTCTTGGTGGTAAGTGTTTCATATTTTATTTATCATTATATTTCTTTTTGCTTTGTCAATGTGACTTGGACTAACGCCCCAATTTTCACTACGTTTTCAGTTTCCTGCTTATGTAACATTTTAATTCAGTGCTGAATGCTGTTTGCAACCCAGTAACAATGCATTCTTTTTACAGCGTCGCCAGTATTGTGCCAGGATGCTGCTGCTGCCGAGGACGGTGCTGCAGGAGTAGCTGTGGCACCCAATCCTGCTCCTCTCCCAGATGAGCCTGCAGCTTCCAGGTCCTCTGATGCTGAACCTGATGTCCCTGCTGTTGAGCCTGAGGCTCCAGCTGAACCCGCGGCTCCAGTAACTGATCCCCCAGCCCCTCCCACCTCTGCCCCTGATACCCCAGCTGATCCCACCGATCCAGTCATGACCACCTCAGCTCCTGATACCACCACCTCTGCTCCTGATACCACCACCACTACTACTACTACCACAACCACTACGACCACAGTGGCTCCCACACCACCCGCCCCTGAGCAGGGCTTGTGGACGGTCCGGGACGATACTGGATCGTCCATCTGCGTGCTGGCTCAGATGGCCACACAGATGAAGGTCCCCTACCTGAGCTCCACCAACAAGGTGGGTGTGGATGGAGGATGGCTGATCATGCATTAACTTGGACCATTTTGTTTGAAAACATTTCAATCTGTTCCTTCTTTTTATCATGCTTTTAAAGTACAATATCCAGCTGTTAATTCAACCATCAAAGCATCTCCAGCCGAGTTCACATCGGCCCTGGCTCTCTCCGGCAGACCCTGACTGCGGTCATCAACGTGCCGGCCAACGCCAGCTCGGAGGGCTCCTGCGCGGGCGGCGAGTACATCCGCGTGTTCTGGCCCGAGGGCGTGGCAAGCGAGAAGGCTAACTTCCTGATGGTGGCGTTTGCGGCCAACCGCACGGCGGGTCGCTACAGCGTGGACACCATCACCGCGCGGCTGCTGATGGACGATGACAACTTCCCCGACCACGCCGAGGACGTCCGTGAGTGAGCTGAAGGGAGGGGAGGGGAGTATCGGCAGAGGAAATGGGGGGGGGGGTGCAGTGAGTGGATGAATTTCTGAGCGAGTCCCACAGTGTATGCTCTTTGAGATTCAAGCTATCATCATGAGCGATTCCAGCATTGATTGGTTTTGATATGCATGTGTTTGATGGGAAAGGTGTAAATTATAAGCATGGTACGAGCTATAAGCTGGGAATTCTTTGAAGTACCTTTTGAAGTCTTCAAAGGGTACTTCAAAGAACTCCTAGCAAATTGAAGTACTTTTGTCATTCGCGGTATGCATTGCAAAAACTGAGATTCGAACCATCTTTATTTTAGGCCGCTTAACTCATCGGAAATAGGACGGCTGTAACTGTCGAACGATCTCAGTTCTGCGGCGATTCACAACGGCGCCCGCCGAAATTCCCGTAATTTGGAGCGGACTTTGTGCCATTATCCGGCCGTAGCCACTGCATACTGTGTACCCTCGCGGCTCGTGAGCAATTGACTGGAATGGCCGCATCCGGTGCCGCGACCCCCTCGCGCCTACACGGTCTACGGTCAGATGGGCAGCGCGGTCTGAGAATAGCCGCACCACGCTCTGTACTCGGGGAGCCGAGCTACCGTGTAACTGATTGGGTTTGCGAAGGGCGGGGCGGAAACGGGACGTTTTGGAGTACAGTGGCGTGGAGGTGTGCGTATTCAGCCAGCGCTTTTATCGGGCGTTTTGTGTGACACTTTTTGTGTTGAGAGTGGGAAGCCGCAATGGTGGCCGCTCGGATATTTGGGGCCCGACACTGCTCTGTGAAGCCCCGGCACAGTCAGTGGGGTGCGGACTGCGTAAACTGCGCAGCGACAGCGGACGCGAGGCTGCCTTTCTGGTATAGCTAACAGCGGCGGGCGTAGAGTCATTGGTACTGTCACACCATCGTGTTAACGGCTGCTTTTGGTTTGGCACTTTCATCTATTTTATTTTCCGTCTTCGGACGAGTTTTATCCTTTTCGTATTTTCGACGCGCGTCTCCGGATGCGGTCAAACGGGTTATACTCGTAATTCGTAATTCTGCTCCATGTGATGATTTAGCATTCAGCTAAACTGGCATTGGACCATTGCGAGCAGCAGCGGAACCCCGCGTCGGTCCGCCATTCAGACCAGTAGGAGGAGCTGCAAACTCATCCCAACCGTTCCTCAGAGATCGGCCCGCTGACGACGCCGCTGAAGTTGTGACGTCACAGGGGGTATGTGACGTCGGCCTCGGTCGTGCCGGAGTCTGTTTACAGGGCTTATCGCGTCCGTACGCCCCTTTTCGTCATTCCTCTACTCATACCGAGCGGCCTGCGAGCTGAGCTGTCTGTGTCAGACGGGGTGGAGCTTAACCATATTAATTAGATGCCGGGAGGGATGAAGCTGATGATGCTTCAGAGAATGGTTGTGCTTCTGGGAGAATGCCGAGGGTCTTGGTAATGGTTTGTCGAGCGGTGGCCCCTCGTGGACGATGAGTCATGTTGGATGTGTGGTATTCGGTTGCAGTATAGATGAGCTCCGAGAAGTTCTTTGTTTCTCTCGTAGTTGGCTGCGCTTGACCTTGTCTGTATTTTGCGCAAGGAATGGTAGCCGCTGCATTGGCCATCAAGGTTGGTGATTATCGTGGTTTTGGTTTGGTTGTAGTTGTATTTGTGTTCCGGATGGTTCCGCATTTGCATTTAACAAACTGCGCATCGTCAGCAGTATGTTCGTTGATCGAAGGCCGTGAACAGACCATCCGCCATGTCATGTATCTATAAGTTCACTGTTCAAGCGGTCGAGCGCTCCTGTTTGTTGCTGGAATGTTCCATGAGTAGCCATTTTCCACACGGCGCCAATAATGGCCCCGCTCTCTGACAGAGCTACGACCCCATATATCCGCGGTATCGCCTCTCGACCGGTCCCACTTGTCCCCAGTGCTCTCCAGCTGCTGCCCCCCCCCCCTCCCCCCGAGGGCCGGGGGCGGCTGGTGTTCACGTGACCGGCCCGCCGCTCGTCCAGTCAGCTGTGTGGCTGCGGGCGGGGGCGGCTTCCTGTCGGGGCCACAGGCGCTGAGGTCACGTGACTGTCACGGGACCGGTGCGAATGCGTCACGCTGTATTCAGCTGCCGCGACAGTAACGTCACCCATGCGCCGTGACTGGCAGGGTGGCGGTGACAGCCTTGCACACACGCTGCTGGAACATAAGCCTGCGCGGGTCTCGTTGCCTCATAACAAGCTGGTGAGGCGCGCTGTGGTATTTCGTGGCATCCCATCATTCGGTGATGTATGACGTCATTTCACTGTCGACGGCCAGTGATGTGACGTCATACCGGTCTGTGCCCATAGCGCATGTGGCATCACCTCACAACTGGATGGGTGATAATACGGCTTCAGCGCCGTAAAAGAGACTCCTTGCCTTGGTGTAGAGGGGTTTTACCATCGGTTGTCTGCCTGTTTCCTGGGATAGTATTGTTATTGATTTTGGAATCGGTAAGCCCCGATCTGGGACTATCGAAAAAGCGACTGGTGCGCTCTCAGGTTTATGACGTTGACTTCCGAAGCGTATAATACAATGCTCCCTTATTTGGGTAAGCCGAGACGGACTGATGCCATGGAATCAAATATCGGACCAGCTCGCTTCCATGGCTAGAAAGGAACTGAGTGTTTGTGTACGCAGCGCGCTGCAATCTTTCCGGTTGAGTATGTAATTGAAACTGGTTTCTTGCGGAAGGATTTATTTTTCTACTGAATGGAGCCCGTCTGGGTTAGCAGAAGTAGCCGGCATGACAGTTGAGTGGTGTTGCATTGTTGCAACTCTCCGTAACTGTCTGCTAGCACCGCTGAGGTGTATGCTCTGCACTCCGAACGCTCTCAGTCTACACTCACCCACTCGGCTCCACTCGACATTTCGTGTCACAGCGGACTAGCTTCTCCCCGTCCGTGAAGTGTCCAGCCCACGGCTCCCTTCCGCGCCGTGGCAGGCAGCCCACATGACCGGCGCTCGCGGCCTCTCGGTGCGCCTGGCGATGACCTTGACAAGCCACGGTGACCTCGGGTGGGGAGGTTGGTGACCTGCGAGTGAGTCCCGATCACGCACTCCCCAAACCAGCAGCGATTTAGTCCTGGATTTGGCCGAAGAGAACCACTGACCACTGACCAGCCCGGGGGACGGATTGAATAGTCCGGATTTGTAACAAGATCCACCCGCGTGCGGTCAGCCGCGTCATCAAGCATGCGTAGCCGCCCGCTCGCGCGTCCAGCTGGGCCGCTTCCATTGTATAGTTATGACGTGTTCCTCTGAGCACGTGATCTGACCTCAGGGCGTACCGCGCTGGGGTGGGCGCGTGATTGCCCATCGGGACGTGTTGACGGCTCGGTTCGGCGTGTGACGTGTGCCGTCGGGACGGGGGCGGCTGGTGACAGCGGAGGGTAGGGAGGGGAAGGTGATTGACAGCTGATAGGGCACGCGGACGATGGACGGTGCTGTTTAGAGGCATAACACTCCGAAGGTGTTTGATAAGGGCGTGGCTAGATTACGGCATGACCTTTGGGTGGTAAATATTTGCCAGGCTCCAAACAGCGTGCTACCGAGTTTAGAGGTTGTTGAGCAGCTTTGTTCGTCACACAGAAGAGACATGGTAGGTAAAGGTACAATAGGTTTAATTTAAACGTACAACTTTATGACAGATATTTATGGCTGTGGTGCTTTTTCAAGGTATTGCTCGTGGTCCTTCTTACTCATTTGTCTTGTAATCCTAGCACGTCACATCTTTAAAGATACTTACACCCAACCTCTGTGCATTGTCCTGCACGGGACTTCCCTCTCCGGCCCCCTCTTCCCGAACTGTTCCCTCATCCTTCCCCTCTGCACGCCCGTCGCCTCTCTCCCTGGTCCCTCCCCTGCACGGCGCGCTCCTTCCTTTTCGATCCCTCTGCAGGACAGGCCCGCCGCGCTGGTCCGTCTCCAGCCGGCCCGCTCGGCCGTGCTGTTTATCGGCCCGTCTGCGGTCGCCGTTTCCTCTCCTGGGTACTAACCTCGACGGCTGTCTGTCTCTGACACATCTGGGCTGAATCCACGGCTAGTGTAGCTTTCGGTGAGCTATGGCCGGCAGTGCAAAAAGTATTGGAAACCAGGACATGGTCCCCTGCGTCACAGGGTGTTTAGACAAGGATAAGTGTAAAAAGTACTTAATTTCTTTTGTGTTTTTCGGTGTGTGACAGCGCGGCTATGGGAATTGTACCTCATTGGACGTGTATCGTCCAATGGGACCGGTGTATGAGAAGCGACCACTACATTTAAAGCTCTAATGAAGAATAGTGGCCAGTGCTGTGGTTGTCTTTCGCAGTCTTGGAATGGCTTTTGCTGACATAAGAGAGGAAAGCTAACCCCTAACATTTTATCGCGATTGATTGAAAGAAGCATTGCCGTCTACTGAGATTGAGTTTGTCGGCAGCTTCATGTGTATGCCGGGACACAGCTTGTGACTGTTGCCAGTAATTAGCTAGCAGCTCGGACGGACAGACAGTCACTTCACGACCTGTGGTCTGAAGTCGGCATGTGTTATCGGTCGCCTGCTGTCACCCACTCTCCAAACAACTCAACGAGTTGAGGTATCGATACTCTACGGGACTGACGGAGGCTTCAGACTTCAGACACACAGTCCTAGCCATATCTTTTGTTTTTCGTTCGTTTTTACTCTCAGATAGCTAACCCGTTTGTTAGCTTCAAATGTTTGACACTTTGGTTTGACATCTCAACCATGTGGTAACTCAAGACTGGCTTTAAGTTTAGAACACCCCGTTGCGTAAAAGAACTTGCTGTGTGTGTGCCTTCTGGTCACTGTGAAATATCACATCCTTGGGTATTTGTCTGTGAGCCCCCTCACAAACACGCACTTCTCGACCCCAAACATTTGTTTTGTCAGTCCCACGGGGCGTCACAGGCTTCTCAGGGGCACGTGCCCAGTTCGTGCTCTAGAACTGGCGGGGTTTTGTGCCTCAGAATGGCGCCAACGCCGAAAAGGGACACCTTATTATCTCACGCTGCACTCCGCGAGATGCAATTTCATCAACTGACGTTCTGTCCTGAATTTGAATAATTGATTGGTTGGCAAAAGTAAGCCGGGATTGCGATTCGTTATTTTCACAAGTCCTGTTATCAGGATACTGCTGAGGTGAAAAATATTGCTAAACAGTACAGGGAGCAGTACGCGCCTCGCTGATGCAGTCCTGCGTGCCAACGGCTGATGTGTTATAATAACCGCCTACTATGAACGTCAAACCCCTTGAGACCCCACTTTTTTGCGATAATTTTTAAATGCGTCAACTTTCGTTGACAATATTCTGGCAATGTATGTTTCAGAACCTGCCGAAACTTTTATTACTAAGGTATTTTGACGCCAAACGATTGTGGAAGGTACTTCTCATTCACTCGTAATGCTAAGGTCAATTCAGGCCCGGGCAGAGGCTTGCGCTCGGCCACACTCGAGCCCCGCCACCAGCGCCATCTGCTCTAAATGCCATCTACCAGCGCCCGCTACCGCTACCAGCTACCACCCACCATCAAGCCTGAATGGAGCGAGAGACGCGAGTGACCGGTCGCCGGGCAAGGAGCGCCGGAGGGGTAGGGCGGAGCTTAGCGCTGACGTCATTGCGTGGCTCCGCCCCATGAGCGCGTAGCCTCTACCCAAACAGCAGATTCGTTCCGTGAAATTTAACATTACGAGTGAATGAGAAGTACATTTCATAATCGTTTGGCGTCAAAATACCTTAGTAATAAAAGTTTCGGCAGGTTCTAAAACACACATTGCCAGAATATTGTCAACGAGAGTTGACGCATTTAAAAATTATCGCAAAAAAGTGGGGTCTCAAGGGGTTTGACGTCCATAGTAGAACTGCCGAGTGCCGGTAGGTACTGCGCTGACCTCCAGGGCTGGCCACCAGTACAGGATGGCTGGTATCACTCCTGAGATGGGCTGTCAGAGGCTGATGAAGGGGAGATGGATGGGGTAGGTGCTGTCTTTAACGGTACCGGTTGGTTGGACCAACTGTGAGGGCCGATGGTCGTTCGACTGACATGGTGATATAGGTTATAGCTGCATTAGTCGATGAGACTATGTGGTATGGCTGCCCTAAACTCCTGGTGGTTGCTACGTAATGTGTCTGTGCACTGTGGAGGTTACCGGAAGTTTGCAATCTGGGCGTTGGTTGAAAGGAAAATTTTGCTCCATATTACGAATGATTTGTGCTTACCATCAGCTTGCCGTTGATGGATCGTCAAGTTCTTATTACGTTTCATTGCGATTGAAAGTGGAAAACTGCTGGACTTAGTGTCGAAATTCTTGACCTAGAGAAGAGACCGTTCCTGGTTGAACGTAGAACGAACGTCCTGAAGCGCCACGGGCCCTGCTGGCTCAGACAGATCACTGGACAGACATTTTGACACTGGCCTTGATTACGCCAGGGCTCCGTCGTTTTGTGATGTTATCTTCATTAACAAATACACTAGACGTGGTGTGGTCGCCCCTGCTCTCTGGTCTTATAAACAAATCAGTTTAAACATGTCATTGAGTAGACGAAAGCATGCCGCACTGCATTAATAAATACAATGCTGACTGTCTGATTAATAAGATTTTACTATTATTTTCTCTGATTATTCTTCTGTACTGTAATGCTAGAAATGATCATGGTGTATTTAAAGTCTACCCATTACTGGAAAAATAACTGATATGTACATATGTACGATGTGCAACTGAGACATCACATGTGAGACCTCAGCTGAGCAATGAATTGAAGATTGACAACGTTTCTGAATACCCACCATTAAATTCTGTCATATATCGTGTCTGCCCTTGTGATGTGACCGGGTCGCTCCTGGAGGACCGGCGACCTCTGCAGTGACCTCGGAGGCTGCCTCAGGTCACCGGCAGACGGCTCTTGTGACGGTTCTTGTCGTTGGGCCGGATGGCGGTACCGGGTCGTAGCGACTGTCCCGGTACTTTTTGTCCGTGCGTTTGGCTCACTTGCGGCGCAGACTCGTGGGCAAAAACAGCATAGCAGGGACGAGCAAGCGACGGGGTGTGCCGGGCAGGGGCTTCAACTAGAGGCGGCGGGAGGGTGGAATTTTGGGTTTGATGAAAACCGATCATTTTAGCTGCTTACAAATGGGGCTTGTTCGAAAATTCCGCTTCGTATTTTGAGGAAATAAATGACAGCTCTTTTGGCGTCGTTCGCTAGAATACGTAGATATGGTGAGGAGTTATGGATAATGTAACTGGCCGACTCCCAATTTACGTAACTAAACAGACGCTCGTCATCCCCTATCACAGTTGGGGACTTAGTTTCTTGCAAACAGATGTGCAGATGTGGGAACTGTCGACCCGCCTGACCCCGGCCCTCTGGTCTCCGTCGGCAGCCGCGCTGCACCTGCGTGTCAACTTCTCCGAGCCCATCTCGCTGTCCAATAAGACCAGCTACCGGTGCATGAGCAAGCAGCCGTTCCAGCTGCTGGTTGATGACGGCAGCTCGGGCGAGGACGGCAGCGCGGGCGAGCTGCTGATGCTGGAGACCCAGCTGGAGGCCTACCGCACCGCCAACACCACCAAGTTCTCCACACGTGAGTGGCGGAGCTGCCGGGACGGCCGGGGGGAGGGGGTGTCTGATTGAAATGTGCTGATGGGGCGCTGGGGATTAAACCTCGGGGAAGTGGACGGTTGAAACTTTGCCAACTGGAAGTTTGCGTGAGCTGTGAAGTCGAATGGAGGTTTCTGTGAACGGTGAGATCAAATGACGTTTATGTGAACGTGTTTGTAAGGTTTTATGTGTGTGTTAAGTTTGTGTTTGTGAGGATTTTGTTTGTGTGAGGTGTGTGTTTTTGTGAGGTGTGTTTGTGTGACTTGTTTGTTTGTATTTGTGTGAGGTTTGTGTTAGGTCTTTTTATTTGGGAGTTTTGTATGAGGTCAAAAGTCAGTTGTTTTTTCGAGCATATGCGGTTGAAGTCGTCGCATACATATTCCCCCTGATAAGATATCGTTGCGGAAAACGACATTTTGATCGCTCAAGGTCGTCAATGCAGTATCTTTTTGAAGTATAGGAATCAAATATTTTGAGCCAATGGCAGTGGCAGGCTTTTTGCTTACACCGAAAATTTTACCATGTAATACCATCTGTCCTACCCTTCACTGTGTTAGCTGGACGTACTTTAGAGGGATTAGAAATGGAATGATTTTACAACTGGTATTCAGCTTTCTAACATCCATTGGTTGATTTGTTATCTTGTAATATAAATTGAATTATCGCAAGAACACGTCTGGATAAGGCTACACAGATGCCGATCTGGGCCGATCCCTCGGAGACCTTATCGATCTTTATCATTGTTTCCAGACGTTTCAGTCCCGTATGGTTTATTTCACAAATCCTCTTATTTCACGACGGCTTCAAATATCGTACCCGTCTGTTGAAATAAAGCATCAGAAGCACAGAGCCGGCTCATCTGGCTCCCCTGCCACGCGCCGCTCCGGGCCGTGAGGGGTGGTTAGCTGCAGTTGCCGGCGTGGGTCCCCCCCCCCTCCCTCTTCCCCGCGCCCCACACGGCCTGGCACTCTGCCAGCACCGCTGTAACTGGCACCATCAGGCCAATGGCGGCATGTGCATTGTGCGGTGCCGGTGAGTGGAGGTTACTGGCCCGATGTTAGCCTTGATCACATATATGACGGAATCGAGATGTGTTTGGTTTTATTAGATTCACTTTTCAAACATAGTTTGATAAAGCATAAATTACAGAATCTACATTCTACAGTCGGCCTTCTAAACCCTATTTCATAAAGCCGGATCGATGCGATGTTTTTTTTACGCCATGATAAACGAGATATGGTATCACTTTGAACGGAAGTTATTCTCGTTTATTAATTTTCCAGTCGTGTCTATGCACTGGGACCCAACAGCTGTTGTAATCGCCCGTACATACGGTGTATATCGACCCGACTGCGGCGCGGCCCGGCCGGTTCTGTCGGCGACGAGCGGCAGCGGGGCCGGCCCGCTCACCGCCCGCCGTTGCGACACGGCTCCCGGTGGCCCAATGGTGTTTCTCCGGCCTGTGAGCCGCGAGAGGAGCTCACCGGGCCGGGAGAGGCGCTCAGGCCGGGCCGGGCTGGCGTCGCTGCGGACGCTGTGGCCCCGAGGCTGATTGAAGTGGTCGTCCGCGGTGACTCAGAATGTTGGAGTGGTGCTGGCGCAGTATTCTGTTGCTGCGTACAAATGCCGACTGCTGCGGACTGGCTACGGCACTGCAATCTTTCAGCATCTCGATTTTGTCATTTTTATACGCCTTCAGTCGAAATTTTAGCAGTATTTCCAGGGGTCTGAACGGTCGCGTGCCTAATCTATTGAAATCACCAGTCATCACTGTTTCCTGAAATGCGAACTGTCTGTGTATATGAGTGTGCCAGCGCTGCCTTGCACCAAACGCGTCATACCAGATGGGCCAGATCGAGCCTGGGGTCGGTTCGGACTGCAGCCGCCACGCGCCGCTCGGCGATTCAGAATGTTTATAGTATGGAACTGGTCACTGGTCAACCCAGGGACGCTCACTCCTGGGTCACGTGGTTGGGCAGACGGATGATCGCTCCCTTCCTCCCTGACTCCCTCCCTCCCTCCCTGACTCCCTCCCTCCCCTAGCCACTCCCCACTCCTGGTGAGTCCGTGACAGCCACACAGCTCGATGGACAGCTGTGTTGGGTATGGTAGCGGTAGCTATCGACCATTCTCAGACCACACTGGGCCATGGAGGTCGGTCTTGAACCGGTCCTGTGTGGCCGGGTGGTGTGGCAGGGCTCCCAGCTGATCCCTCTCCCCACTGGGGACCGGGGGTTGTTGGGGGAGGCTGGCGAGGGAGAGCGGTCCCGCTGCACCGGCACGGCTGCTGAGACTTGTGAAAGGTCGAGACAGTGACTGCAACAGTGGTTTACCGTGTGGTTAGGCTGGGGAATGCGGGGTTGAGAGCCTGGGCGCGCATCGCTGGCATATTGAAGCTTTGATAGAAACGACGACTGTTCACTTGTGCGAAAGAGACATGAATATGCGAAGCCTTATTGTTATTCCTACTGCATTCAAGGACTGAGTGCGGACAAATTTTATTCGGCTGTATTTCCTCTGTACCACATAACTACCGGCGCCACCATTCTATCGCAGCGTTCCCAGCCGCGAACCACGCCGCTTGTATTGACGGTCCGACCGTGACCTTGACCTTTCCCGGCGCCGGTGGCCCTGATTGCCCGCCTCTGGGGGGTTTGCAGGGAAGCCCGGCCACCCCGCACCCCACCAAAGCAGTCTGCGAAGGCTAATGCTGTCCGTGACGGGATTCTATTGGCCAGGTGTTAGTCAGAACGGCCTCAACGCCACCGCTCCGCCAGCTGCTTAGGCGTGATTGTGCATACGGTTGCGGCTTGTTTGAGTGAATGCGGCTTGTTTGAGTGAACCGTACCGTACTGCCACTCCAGTTTTGTGATAGTCAGCAGCAAATGAGAGGTGCTCAGGCTAGAGTTTTGACCCGGCAGGCCGCCCACAGCGCACAGAGGCCCGCATAACGCACGGTGAAAGTCGCCCCGCTCTGCCCTTGTTCTTCCCCCGCAGGTCTTCCGCCGGCAGTAAATAGGTCGCCACAGCGAACGTGTTTTGTTCAGAGCTGTAGCGCCGGACCGCCTCACTTGCTGATCAGTTGAGTCATTGAGCCATTGGTAGATGGTCCAATGACAAACCTGACGAGTCTCTAGTCTCCTGACACGGATTAATAATGGAAAGTACATACATCCAAGGACTGCCTCATCTGGGAATCGGCGTCTAGGTTTAGTGGCCACAATTGGAGACAGCCACCCAGAAATACTCGTTTTATAACCATATCCAGCATATGCAATGTCTGACTTGATCACCAGTACGTCTCATAAGTTATGGATAGCGCTGCTGAAGTAAGATTTGTGGCATTGCCACACCAAGCCCACTAGTGGGTGTTGGTGACCCTGCTCATTATTTCCTCCGTGTCGCCCCGTTATTCACACGTTTAGCACTATTGCCCCGATATGGTGGTAGGGCTAAGGGCGGTGTCCGTGCTGCGACTGACTCAGCAGCGGCTCGACGAAGTTCGTTGAAACTGAAATCGATGGGACCTAACACGACTCCGCAGTCCGCCGGCGTTATGTTTAAAGTTCACGAAACTCGCCAGGTCATATTAGATGTCCCGCGTGGCGTGGGGATTTCTTATAACAGCATTGTGCCTCTTCTACGGCTCGGCGCGTTATGCAGCTTTTTCACGTTCCACGTGTCTCAACTTTTTAACGAAATTGGGATGTTCTCGTGAATCGCTATTTAGCTTACTTCGGGATGTTTGCCCGACGAAACTGGATGTGTTTCCTCTACAGACGCAGATACGGAAATGCCGCGTATGTCTTTGACCCTGTTCACAGTCCATCCTTGCCCAATGCTCTGTAACCGCTCTTTCCGGAGGTCACGTGTCGTGTCTTTTTGTGTGTCGTTTCTGGTTGCAGTATCTGTGTTATGTTTGGAGACCACCTTTATCACATCTCGTGTCTTGTTGGACCGCTGTCACGTCGATGATGTTTGCCATTTCGCCATAGTCACGTGTGGCGAGCTACATTTTGACTGCACCTCCTTCCCGTTCATCTCGTTGTATGCGTGACCCCCTTACACGCCCCACCCCCTCCCTCCCCCACACACACACCGCGCTGACACGCCTCCCCGTCCGTCCGGCAGCACTGGTGTGCTCTGCCGACCACCGGGCCACCTCTGACGTCGTGCCCATCGCCGTCGGCGTGGCTCTGGCCTCGCTCGTGGTCATCATTCTGATCGCCTACATCGTGGGACGCCGGCGCGCCCGCCAGAGGGGATACCAGAGCGTCTAAAGAGCACCAGAAGACGGACTCGTGGACGACGCGCCGCCTGTCCCATCACCTCCAGGTGTGAAGTCTATCTGGAGGGCTAAAACGACCATGTCCTGTTGCGACCATCAGTGCGATCAGATTACTCCATGGTGACTTGTGCTATGTCAAGACATCGGTGGGTCTAGGCCTTCTTCAGCACACCTCTTCAATCGGTTTGGTCTCCATCTGGTGGTGACACTACAGACGCGTCTGGGATCGTCTTGATGCGACTGTGGTGGTGCATGTGTCAGTGGTGGGAGGGGCGGATGCCGTCGCGTGGTTCATGCGGTGTGCTGTCGGTTGGAACATTTGAAACATTGTGAGTAGGAGCGCCGCGTCGCCGCTCTGGGGTGGGTGGGTATCTGAAAGGAGTGGGAGGGATGTCATGATCAGCAGAAGATGTGAGGAGCAGTTGAGAGGGCGGCAGTGCGCGGTTGCGTTGTGGCGAATGGTTGTCAATGCGTGTGTGAATCGAGGTTTTCTGGCTGAGATCTAGATGGTCGCTGATCAGCATGTCATCCATGTGCAGGTCTCATGCCGTCTCGCGTGTCGGAAGTAAGTGTGGCTATTTTCTAATGGGGTCCTCTAACTTCTCCCCGTCTTAAAGTATTCGATTAGTTTCCGGCTTGAGAGTGTCTTATGAATATCATTATTCTGTCGGCGACGGCGGAGTGGCAGTGCTGAACGTCCTGCGCATGCGCCGACAGCAGAGAGTGCTTTCAGCGGTTAGCGCGCCTGTCTGTCACGTTGCGTCAGCGTTTGTGTATCCAGGGGTCGGGAGGGACGCGTGCTTAGCAACCGGTCAATACAGAGACTTCTCGGGACGGTAGAGGATGGTAGAAATGGTAGATACCCGGTAGATTGTGAGCCGTCAGCAGAAGGCCACAGAATGGCGGTCATACAGTGAGGTATCCCCGATTGGTGGGGTAGTTTCGAGAAGTTCCGTTTTGTTGTCTGTAGAGCGTGCCCATGTCGGTGTTAGGTATTATTCGGAGATTTTCCAGGCGTCCCGTGGCAATTTTCTCATTAAGAACGCCATTGTAATGTATACCTTGTGCTAGGACTTGGCGCACTAGCCCATCCCATGGTATATATGTAGACGATGACATTTATGATCAACAGTGAGTAACAACAGCACATGTATAAACAAACATACTTATAATAGACGTTTTCTGCTGGTTGAAATTCTAAATTCTGAACAAGCTGGAACTATTCAAATACATGAGTTGTTGTTACTCATTGTCCCATTTACCTGCGCGGCATATATTTCAGCGTATCGTAGACGAGGAATACCTTGATATAAGCGTTTGCCTTTTGAATTTCTCACGTTCGTTCTGTTCCTTTGGATATTCTTCTATTGCACGGCGATACTGATACATGTACTGGGGCTGAGGGCTCGTCCGCATACCTGTAACCTAGATAAGTGCAAGTCGTGCAAGGATTATAAATAAACAGATACCGTCAAGATTGTTGGTTGATCAGTGGCCTGCTATCGCAACATGGTTCAATAATAACCAACATGTCTATCGTCTACATAGCGGTTACGAATGTGTACCCAGTCACTGATAGGCAGACATACGAGGCAGCAGCCTCATATTCATACGCCCGGCGAACATGCTGTTATAAATATGCTGGTCTGTTCACCTTTGTGGAGATATTCTAGGATAGTTCTTTATTTAGCTCATTTCGCGGAATCAGCGCTTCGCCCACGCTCGCCGAATCTGTCAGGTATTATTGGTCGTCCCACCATTTGTTCGCTGACCCATCCTTTTCTATAGTGCGGCGCTGACGTCACTGGGGCAGAGAATAGCTACCGCTGGGCTCTGTAATATTTCCCGCGAGTGTCCGGTCGGACGGTGACATTTCTGGGCTTCCCTATGGTGGAAGGTAATAGCGATGGGAGACGATCAGGTTACTGATTGTACTCTTAAATCGTAATAATGATTTATAGGGTTAATTGGCTCGGGACACTGCTGTTGGCCTGTTGGGGAATGGCGACGCCAATACGTAGATTTGCTGTATACGAAAACTCGTATACCTACTTATTGGTTATGGCATTAGGCGTGCCAATCACTTTACGCCTTATCCACAAACTCATAATCATCCAACTTTAACCAAGCTTAGATACGTATGAAGCCAGGCCAGTTTGTGTCAGACGAGGGTGAGCGAACGGACGGGGTACGCTGGTCTCCCTGTTCCAGGCCATATGCCGTCCGATCAGTGGAATATTACCGGCGGCCAGGAGGGCCGGAGACGGGGGACAATGGGCATGCCATGTTGTGTTGACGCAATACCAGTTATTGGCAATTGAAGGCGGTTATTGGGTGGGGGCTGGGTTCGACGATATCGGGTTGGGTCTACATAGAGTGTTATTATACGCACTGGAGTTACAAAGAACGAGTGTTTTGCCACAAATGCCATATAGTTTAAGCGAGATTGCCGGGCATGTCTCAGATTCATACAATATTCTATTGGAGCAAAGCGAGACCGAACGCACCGAGCTTCCCGTCGCAGAAGATACGAAAATATATAACTGTACCATTGCATATATTTAAATATTAGACGAGCATAACATGTAACATATTTGGTTACCATGCACCATCCGGATAGTGGCATGCGAGCTTAACACCACAAATGAACGGGAAGTCGTTCCGGCCAACGCACGATCGTTCCAAAAACTTGTGCCAATCACAGACAGAATACATGGCGTCCGGCTGGACGTACGCGGTCGGGCGCGTCTCCCCTGCCGGGGTCACGCTGGGCCGGGTCAACGGTCAGAACGAACAGGTCGGGGCGGGGTGCCCTCAGTCCCGCGCGACCTCCCGCACCAGCCAGTGTTTGCGTTTTCTCGATATGTGCTCAGTATCGTCAGACACCAGTTTCTCCGATCGGCCACCAGGCGGCTCTACTGTCGAGTCCCTGCTGCCGTGGAGTGGCCGCATCCTGGGGTTCTGGTCAACGTATGCGAGCTGCGAGACAACGCGCGCGCCACTCTACGCAAAACGATAGGGAGCGTCAGTGGCCATGGCAGCACCGGCATCACGAAAACTCTGGGCGCCCGGTCCCGCACAGGGCGCCTCCCGGGAGTTTCCCAAGGAGCTCTCCCAGCGCCAAACGGTTTGACCGCAAGTCAACTCCGCACAGCGCGGCTATTAGTACACCAGATACACCGTGGGTACACGAGATCACACACGCACGTGCACGTACGAGATACAAACGCAATAAATACAGCCGATTACAAAATAGCGCGCCCGACAGAAGCTGGCTACGAACGCTTCACTAGCACTACCGGTAAACAATCTCAGAGAGGGTGAATCAAAGCATGCTGTCCCAGTCTCGGTCGCAGCTGCCGACCGCCTGTGTCACTCGTTTAACGCCAAACCGTGACGTTCCTCGCACAAATGGTAGGGATGACTAAATCACAAACTAACTATCATGGAACTCACCGCCGCGCCGCTGTTGTCCTACGCTACCTAGACGATCACAAACAGACAACAGCATCGACAAAAAGCGGACAAAGCCTTCACAAGCTGACACTCTGCGAGTCTAAGATCACACTGTGAGTTTCTGGGCTAGAAATGGTAGCAGAGGATTGAACCAGACTAACAAACGCATGAAACGGTGCACAGACTCGGAGTGGGCAGCAATGGTACAAAGAGTAACATAAGTATGCTAGGCAAGCACCGCAGTGCTAGCTTTCCTTCATCAGTCTATAAAATTACAATGCCCGATAGATTATCCCCATCGTATGATAGCCATCCGTAAAGCAGAATACCACCGGAAAGCCTACAAGTACACCCTGCAGAAGAAGAAAAAACTGCCCATCAGATCACCTGTCCTGAAGACAAAACCCCTTTACCGTCGACCTGCCTCACCACTATCAACCTTTTCATCCTCCCTTCTTATACAAAGAGCGTCACATCACCACTCAACGCGCAGCCCAGTCCAAAGCATGTGCGACTCCCCTCTCTCAGGATCCATCAGATCAGGATCAGATCCCACCAGTTAATCCCAGCTCCCTTTGAGGAAACCCCCAGCGCGGTCCTACTCTTAACTCAGCCGTAGCATGTCTTTCGCCAAGGTGCTTTTATCATCTTCCCGTGGCACCGCTTCTCACCGTCGCAACTCTCTTGTAGGGTCAACCTCCCCTCTCTCGACGCCCTCCTCCCTTCCCTACGGGCCTCCCCTCTCCCTCCCTGACCGCGGCGCCTCCCTCTCCTCCCCCTAGCGGCTCTCCTAGCTGGAGGCCGCCGCCAGTTCCCACACCTTCACCAGCCGGTCCTGACCGACCGTCAGGTAGCGCAGCCGAGCACCATCAATGGCCGCCGTCACCAGGCGGTGTTTGGCCTCGTGGATGGAGGCCAGAGGTGTGTGGCCGGCCGCCGACTCTGTGGTGAAGCACGGCTCGCACAGGCGCACCGGCAGCTCGAAGCCCAGCGGCGGGATCGTGCAGCGCCGAGAGCTGCACGAGTCACACACGGCACGGCCGCAGTTCCTGACGGGGAAAACACAGACGGTGGGTGGGTCATTTATGAGGTGGGCATGAGATTCGTCAGTCGGTATGGGTATATGTATGGAAGGTAAGCAGGAGAAGAGAAACTGTAGAGGCAGCAACGAATACCAATTAGTGTGTGTGGTGGTGCCGGGGGGGGGGGGGAGGTTCTATAAATAACAAGAGATATGACCGTTCTAACAATCATAATGCAGAGGCTTTTACAAGACGTGCAGCAATAGGAGAACAATACCAATGAGCGTGAGCCAGTTGAGGTCCAGCAAACCTGTACTATTTGCTGAGAACCAGCTGGCCTGTAGTACCTGCTGCCACCTTACTGACCTGCAGTGGTGCTGCCTATTGAGGCCCAGCTGCTTGTTGTCGTACATGGCCCGCAGGTTCCAGAAAAAGGGCTTACTGCACAGCTGGCAGACGTCCGACTCGTTCCAGCTCGGGGTCTGGCAAACAGAGACCGTATTTAGCACATACACATGTCGCCCCAGACTAGCCACACAATCCGCTGGCACCACATAACACGACCCACACTGTGTGCCGCCAGCTTCCTGAAGGTAGCATCCCACACCAGTCCTGTGGCGCTGTCAACCCTTCTCCTCTAAAACCCGACACTGCCTCTCCTTTCAAACCGACACCCAGCTCTCCCATATCCTCTGGCACCTTAACCTACCTTCCTCTCCTCTGGAGCCCCTCCCTCCCCTCTCCTTTGAACCCCACCTCTCCCCTCTTCTCCCTGTAGCCCACCTCCCTTCCCCTCCCCTCTGGAGCCCACCTCCTCCCCTCTGGAGCCCACCTCCTCCCCTCTGGAGCCCACCTCCTCCCCTCTGGAGCCCACCTCCTCCCCTCTGGAGCCCACCTCCTCCCCTCTGGAGTCTGGAGCCCACCTCCTCCCCTCTGGAGCCCACCTCCTCCCCTCTGGAGTCTGGAGCCCACCTCCTCCCCTCTGGAGCCCACCTCCTCCCCTCCGCAGCCCACCTCCTCCCCTCTGGAGCCCACCTCTCGCCTGCTGGCCGCCATATTCCACACCACCACCGAGCCGTCCTCTGAAGCCGAGAGCAGCTGTCGGGAGCCGGCGTGGTAGCACAGAGACAGAATCTTGGCCGTGTGGCCCTGCAGCTCGTAGGCGGTACCCTGGCGACCGCCAATGTCCCAGACGATGATGTTCTGGTCGTAGCTGCCCGAGAAGAGCCACTGGCGGACTGCGTCCCAAGAGAGAGCGCTGCAGGCAGGAGGGGAGAGAGAGAGTCAGCGGACGGCCGGAGATGACAGACAGGGAAGGAGGGGGCAAGAGGACAAGAAAATTAGGGGCACGACAAACCTTTGATAATCTTTAAGTGTGTCACTAGTATTCACCCCCCTTACCCCTTCCAACGCCGTGGTTGATAGTAATTGGTCACGCGTTTTAACAGCATGACATCAAAAAACAGTCCTGAGTCCCTATTTCCGAGGGTGTACGTACTACGTGGGTGGAGGGTGTACGTATATCAAATATGTCACGCAGTACCACGTCTCAAGAGCGTCACAACTGTCTTTTCACAGTAAATATAAAACCACCTACCCATAGGCGACGGAACGGGGAGGGCACCGGGGCACCGTGCCCCCTCCCCCTTGATTTTTGGCATTTTAACATTAGCCCTATGGGCGTTGCATGGAAAGAATGGGACCAAAAGTCGGCGGTGCCCCCCTTAATTGAAGGTGTTCCATCGCTACTGCACCTACCAACCTACAACCTTAAACCCACAACCTACAAAATCTGTAGTGGCATGTACGGTGGCAAATATGGCTTGTGGCATGTATGAACACCCTCATCCCCCCCATTCCCAACACCTTAACCTCCCTGCCTTCCTTCCTCTACCTGACTGTACCCATCCGCTGGTCACTAACCCGATACTGCCCGTGTGTCCGTTCAGCTTGGTGATCAGGGTCGGGCCCGACTCGTCCAGCTTCAGCATAGTGAT